CTACTCCTACTCCTACTCCTACTCCTACTCCTACTCCTACTCCTACTACTACTACTACTACTACTCCTACTACTCCTACTACTCCTACTACTCTAACTACTAACTACTAACTAACTAACTAACTAACTAACTAACGAACGAACGAACGAACGAACGAACGAACGAACGAACGAACCAACCAACCAACCAACCAACCAACCAACCAACTAACTAACTAACTAACTACTACTACTGCTTGATTCGTGAAACTCCAAAAGAAGAGCCACCACCTTCAAAAAAGGGGAGACCCATTGTCTCATGCCACCCAAAATCTCTCGCGCCTGTTTGATGAGAAGTCCAAACTCTCGTGGGAGTTTCAGGCCGTTGTTCCCCGCGACCTGGCGGTCCAAGACCGTCCAAGACCAGAGGCGAGGATCCAAGACGCGCAGACGCGCAGTTCGAAGGGAAAATGCTTCGAACATGGAGAAACTTGGAAATCATGGCGACATGCCGGTTGAAATGACCAGGACATGCTGTTTTCATCCAACAGGACCATGCGCGTGAAGCACACCACAGAGCCTGGCAGGCCCAACCCCATGTACGATGCGCGATGAATCAACTACACATGGTTTGAATAGTACTGTTCCCTGAAGAATCCCAAAAAACCGCGGGCTCGCCGGCCCTCACCGAAACGAATCAGTCACTCCATGTGACGTATGACAGTCGCATAGTTGCCAGTCCCATGGGTGGTGTCTGGGATAGTGTCTTGCTTCTCACTGCCCGTGCCGAGCCCGGTGGACCACGATGCCCCAGTGGACCACGATGCCTGTGCGATGTCCAGCACGATGTCCTGAATCTGGGACTCGTCCACAGTGCTCTCCGTGGCATTCTCCAGAGAGCCTCCTGCAAAAAAGCCATGGGCTTGGAAAACAAAACAACCCATATCGTCTATCGTCTGATTGCATGCACATGCAGTTTTCGGTCCCTGTTGTGGTTCACTTAGAGTTTTCGGTGACCAAAGTCTTCGGTTCGCTGAGATAGTTTGTGAGTCGGTACTCAGTGTTCTCCTGTTGAGAGTCCGAAGATATGCTGTGCTCCACTCCTAGTCGAGAGATCAGCTGTTCGATATCTGCTGCGAAGGCATCTTCATTGACCTGCCAAGGCATCGAAAGCATTGAAAGTAATCTTCAAAAGCGGGGTGTCCCACTGCTGCTAGTGGCTCTGTGGAGTGGAATACGACGGAAAAGTGAAGACTCGTATGTAAATAGATACTCTTCCCATGATATGGATGTGTATACTATATACATGCTGCAAGACGCGCACACACACACTCACAAAATAGTCCGTCCCAGTGGAGTTCACGCCGTGGTTCTGAGATTCTGTGGCATGTTGGATGGTTATGCCACAAGGACAGATGCAATGAGGTTTTCACTGAAAAGACAGGACAGGACAGGACAGGGCAGGAGTCTGACAGTGAGGGCCTCCTGACCGCTCCTGCACAACAATGAGAACGAGCACGCTCGGGCTCAGCGAACACAAGCTTTGGCTCAACGTGTAGTAGGAAGAATCCAACAGTAGATAGATTGTGTTGGGAGTTTTTGGGTATATCCTAGTATACAGTATACATCTATCACCAGTAACAGTGGATGATGATGGTTAACAAAAACGCCTTTCTCTAAAATTTTGATAGTATGTGATAATTGTTTACCGACTGGTAATGGGCTACACCCTAAGTATATACACTGATCACGAGCTCATGGAGACAACACAGGACAAAGCTGGAGACTCAGTGGCCTACAAATCCAACTGCATTGGGTACTTGCCCCCTCCAGTCACCCTAAATAGAAACCGCGGGAAGTACAGGAACCTGGGATGATGGGGGGTCGCTGATGTTGACTGATGAATCACCAAAGAAGCAAAGCAGCATCTTCGGCCCAAAGAAGGATACCACTTGAAACATGACCGGTAGCCACATTGAGGCGCGTCACACCATGTGTGTCGTCTGGCCCTGTTCTTGACGCCATCTCAGTGTACCAGCGATGTTTTAAACAGGTCACTGATCCCTGCCTGCTTGTTGAGCAACCCTCATCTCTCATGGCTGTTGAATCACATCTCAAACATCGAATTTGCGGAGTCTCAACAAAAAATTGACATCGAATTTGCAGTAGTTGAGTCATATCTCAAGATATCTCAAGATATATGTGAAAGATGGTGAAAGCTATACCAAACGCCCCCCCCACCGCTTATTCCAGCACCTCGGCCGTTTCCACGCCGCTGTTCCTCGGCCGTTGGCATCGCGTGCAGGGGCCTCGCCCACGGTGGCGCCCATGGAGATCAACGCTTGGGCCTCGGACGAAGCGGGGGGACGCCCACCCGAACGAAGCGGTGGCGGTCGAGGTCGCGAAGCCGAGGTCGCTAGCGGCTAGCGCCTCGTTTCCGACACTGTCGATGTTCGTGTCGTGTTCCACGTCCAGGAATATCACCCGCATCGAGATTTGTCTGTTTATGAGAAAATGTGTCCACACTGTTGATGAGAAAAAAAGAATGGTTTGCGGTTTGCGTTGGGGCCGGAAAGGGGCCTCTCGGCCCAGGGGGTAAGCCTCTAAAAGGAAGATTCCCAGTGGGGTCGTGGCAGGCATGGTCGCGTCACCAGTCTCCCGGCTGAGCCAATTCCCCGATCAGTTGTTGGACGGCACGCAGCGCCGGATGGGCGAAGCAACTGCCGCGTCGCAGGCGTCAGAAGTTGGGGGGATGATTCACGAGATCCAAGCACTACATGTATGGAAGTCCCTGCCTCCGTTGGTCTAAAGGGTCCATGTAAAAGGATTCAATATGCCAGTCCCGAGTTGGAGCGTCTGGGCTAGGACCGCTAGGAGTTGGAGAACAAAAGGAATCTATAAATACACAGATACCAGTACATAGGACGCTCCAATTTTCACGACTTTGGGACTTTGGGTTTTGAAATTCCAAGTATCGTTTACTTCACTGGAACATGTGGAGATCATCCAAAATTTCCTCTCACCAACCACCCTGCCCGGTGCTCCATGAAAAATGGAACCCGGCCCGCTCTCATGTCCGTCTCCCAGGATCACTCACCATGCCACGAGCATTGCTGACCTCAAGAGGCGAGGAAGTCTTTTTGCAAAGGACACAACCGCCCAGACAAGCGAGTGACGACTCAGACTCCGGGGGTTTTCTGCAGTCAGACAGAGGGGGCAAGGTAAACGGGTTAAACGGGTCAAACATGACGTGTTGCGGATACATTCACCGTTCGATGGTCGAAACACACATGACATCTTGCTTCGATCTGCTGGGAGACGACGTCGGATCCACCAAGGAGATGGTCAGACTCGACGTTCCGTGGATCTCGGATCCACCATGTGCGTTCCAAAAATCACGAGGGAGGAACTCCTGAGGAATCCCACTGAAGAACCAAGAAGAACCATGACAAGTGAAGACATGCATCATGTTTTCTGGACGGATGGATCCCACAATTAAAACTAAACCCTGCACCGGTTCATTGATCTTCTTTGAGAATAGATATTTACAAATATTTGTATAATTACAACATGTTCCACGACCCTTCAATGGAATACTATCACTAATTCAATGCATTCCTTGTTGGATTAAAGAGCATGAACAAATTTATACAGTAGCACTTCTAGATGTAATACGTATAGTTAATAAAACACCGCCGCCCTAGCTGCTTTCATGAACGGAACCGTCCTTCGGCAGTCAGGTTTCACTGCAGCCCCCCGGTAAAGCCAAACATGGCATTGCCAAGTTTGGACACGACAACCACATGTCTGCTGCCGCTGTTTCGAACCAACTCTGAAGTCACAGGAAGTCACCTGTCAGGTACGTTGCTAAACCACTAAACGTCATTGAAGCGCAAAGGATCACATCACGAAGAACCAATGCGAGATCTCCTTTCTCAATGAACAAAGACCCTGAATGAACATATGATCTGATTATCATGTCGTGACGCTTCTTGGCTGTAAGGGGATATTCTCACCAGGCACCGCTCAAGAACATACAGTATCAGATACCACAATATACCCTGCCGTGCACTTTCCCATTGGGCCACCCCACCGCCAAGGCCTCGTTGAGTTGGTCGATGCCTGTGGCCATTTTGGGGCTCAGCCGGCCTGGCGGAGGCAAAGCCGGAGCCGGCGCGACGTTCGCAGCGGCCGGCGCGTTCGTTCCAAGCGCTGCGAAAGCTGGAAGCGTCTCATGCGATTTCTAGCCAGCTCTGCTTGCAGGACTGACTGTACACTGTGAGCCCTTCACAAAAACACTGCAAGAAGGTCGTGTCGCCGACAGCTGAAACACAGCAGGGCTTTTGTCTGGGCCCTGGGTGAACCTTGCTACAATCCCTGCCGCCTACCAATAGTGCCAGGCATGCTACTGCTCTATGAAATGTCCATCCTGAACAGGCCCAGCCCCGACATCAGAACTAGCAAAAGAGATGCAGTTGATGGCGGTCTGCATAAATCTCAGTGCAACACTTCAACCAAAAGGGTCCAAATTGTGTTTGGTTTTTTTTGGAGTTGTAGGGTCTTACCCACTTGTGTTTGCACCGTGGCGGATCTTTAGCCTTTAGGTTTGGGAAGGGGTGACCTCAAAAGAAGTATCCTTCATGAGCAAACATAAGAACCCACCAACCCAGCGGCCTTTCTCCTGGTCCTTTCTTTAGATGTCTGAACATGTCTGAACTTGATAAGTTCAGAAAAAAATCACGTCACAATCTCTCCTGTCCCTCGAGGAATCTCTGCTGACACGATTGAACATGGCGTCGCCAAGAGGAATCGCTGGTCCACCATCCGCGACCACTTCAACCACCTCCTGCTTGGGCGGTCTTCCCATCTGACCGGAGTGGTGTGACCTATTCCTTCGATCTGTTCGCAGACCTGCAAATGGTGCGGTTGAAACATGTTGTAACCAGAGTACCCCTAGGATTCCAACTACGACAGATTAAAGGTGTCTACCGAACCTTAAGGATCTTAGGGGTGCTCCCAACGATGCATGCAACCCAACCCATTTAGCCCATCCCCGCGCAGCACACCACCGCCCGACCCCGAGATCTCGCCTACGATACCAAAGTCGATGAAGCCCACACGTCCATCCTGGTGCGTTGGATGCGCGGGCGGATGGGTTTTGGTGCGGATCTGAGGTCACGGAGGTCGATGGATAGTAATGGTCGATGTGTCTTAAAATGGTTTTTTTCAGGCGCCCATCTGAGACGGGTGGGCTCATGGCATCTGAAATCAATGCCCCCCCCAACCCACTGAAAATAGATCCAAAACCAACGAAGCCTGCCCACACCGCAGGTGCTGAGGCTTTAAAATGTAAGTAGTGCATGATCGCTTTGTAAATATCCGCCGCCCCTGCCCAGCCGACGCCTAGGCGGGGCGGCGCCGGGGACACCGCAGGGTGAAACAGTTGCCCAGGCCAAGCAGATCCAGAGCGTTTCGCCGTGGCGAAGCTGCCGTTTTCTGCCCAAGCAGATGCAGAGTGCGTCGCCGTGGCGAAGGTGCGGTTTCTAGGTGTGGCCGTCGGCTGCATTCTGCTTGATAGGCACACCTCAACTGCCAGGCAACTAGGCCAGGCAACGTTAGGCATTTTGGCTGGCTGCGGCTCGCCCCTTTTTGGTGTGGAATTGTGAATTGTTAGAGGGTGGAAGAGCGTGGCGGAGCAGATTGCCGGGGGGCTTGGGACGCCGGCCGCCTTCTCGACTTGCAGCCTGTCACAGCCTTCAAGAAACTTCCCGCCCTCCTCGCTCTGCAGAAGCTGGGCAATGGTGTGGAAGCAGCGGATGGCTTCGGCGTCCTCGAAGTTGCCCAGTGCAGTGCCGAGACATCGGATGGAATGCGCCACCATGCTGGCGCCAAAGGCCGGCCGGCGAATTAATTCCGAATTTCTGTCTGACAGCACTTGCCGCAGATTCTCATTGGACCAACAATCTGCAGGAACCTTGCTGGGAGTGTAGACCGATTGAAATACGATCGCAAGTTGGCCTTTGGCAGGAAAGGAACCAACGCCCCTCCAACCTCCGAACGTACTCCGGAGGCCCGCTCACATTGTTGCCAGCCACTGCAGGACCCCACTGCCACTCGTCTCCGGTCTGGCCCCACGTCGGCTGCGGGCTCCACGCCTGCGGAGGTTGCTCCCACTTCTTGCCGGCTTTGCTTCCTTTCCAAGGTTTTCCTGCACCCTTGCCTCCGCCTTTGCCCTGGTGCCATTTGGCGCCGCCCATGATGTCGCGAGGGTCACTCTTTTATGGGCTCCCAACGTGCCAGGCAACGTTAGGCATTTTGGCTGGCTGCGGCTCGCCCTTTTTGGTGTGGAATTAGATGGTGGAAAAGCGTGGCGGAGCAGATTGCCGGGAGCCTTGGGAGTGCGTTTCGTTTGGGAACAAAAATGCATATTATGCATCAGGAAGTGTGTCTGGGAGAAGAGTGAGAGTGGAAGAAAGCATGGAAAAAAGCACAAACATACCCTAGGCTTCCAGGAGCCAAGTTTAACTTAGCGTTTTACAAAGAACCAACTTAAACTCAGTCGCCGATTCAAGACTATGTTTGGCGAATAAAGACTATGTTTACCGTACCATGCGCAAGACCCCATTCGGGCCCCATGCAAACACTGTTCTTTTTTTGCCTCGCTTCTCTCGCTTTTGGGTCTCTCGGAAGCGCCACTTCAAAGTTCGGAGGCTCAACCGGCTCTTCCGCATCACCTCAGATCTATGGTTTTTCATGAAAACCGTGTTGGGGACATTGGTGTCTGCACAACCTGTTCGGTCAGGCTGCTTGATTCGCATTGTGGGATTTCCGTCGCCATTTTTTGATCATCGACATCATATCTTCATCGCAAAAGTGTGATGAATCTCGGATTTTGTCCTTGGACGTCACTCACCCAATGTCACCGACCATCCCACCTATGCCTCCTGGTGCCTGGTTACTTTGCAGATGTTGGTGAACTCACCAAAGTAGGGACACACATAAAAGAGAACTCTATCGGAAGCTTTCGAAAGGCGGTTGATGACAGTGTGCGGTTGAGGGGCTTCCTTTTGCAACTGTGTCCTGAAGGATGTGCACGAACACCTCAGGCTCAATTGCAGCTAGTGGCTAGGTGCATAACAAGGGAGGGACATCACAACGGCGCACCAGCTGCCACCCCTACCACACTGCCGAGCCTGAGTACCAGGACGTCTCTGAAGACCCTTGGTCTGCCTGTTTTGCCGATGAAGATGAATGGTCCTGGATCTCTTCATGGTCCGAACGGCCAGTATGGTATGCCGATGAAGAATGGCAATTCGATGACTCAGGCTATATATGGTAGAGTGGCACTGGATGATATTTGGGTACAATGATCCAAGAAAGTTGCTGAGACCTCTCATAAAGCCAAATCTGAAGGTCCCATTGCTAACTGATGTTCTGCGCAACTAGTGGACTGGACCCTGGAAATCAGTATACCCAGCCTCATACTCATGATGTTTACTTGCTTGAAGCAGTTCAAATACGTTTTGCCAGCCAGCTCCAATTCAGCAGCTTCCGATCGGCTCCTCAAACAAGAAAAACACTAGGGTTGAAAGTATTCTACCTACTCATAGAAAAAAAGAGAGCCGACCACACTCACTGGCCCGGTTCTGAACTCTGTGGGTCAGGTCTTGTCCTCCTCTTGTCATTCTCTTGGCCGCGCCTGTTCTTGTCCTGTCCTTCTCGTGGCTGCGCCCATGAACTCTGTGTGCGGGCTCCGTGGTCTGTGGCCGGGCTCTGTGTCCGGTAACTTTCTCATTGAAATGACAGCGGACACACCGCTTCAAAAACCTATACAAAATTGCAAGAACACAAGTAGGTTTATTTTGTACAAAATACATGAGCTAGCAAAAAATGATACCCAAAACACGGATGGTAAAAAAGAAACTCTAAAAAAAAAATTGTCACAAGTAGGTTAAGTAGAAATAAATAGAAACTAAGTAGAACTAAGTAGCTATAAGTATACTTAGCCTACTTACAACAATTTTGTTAAGCTACTTATTTTCTACTTAGCAAGTAGGTCAATTGACTTGTAAGTATCTTAAAGTTAATTATAAGTAACTTAAGTAAAAAATATATAGTTATGCTACTTATCACTACTTATAACACTACTTAACCTTGTTAAAACCATACTATATTTACTTATCAGTAATAGGTTATGACTAGACAAGTAGTTTTGGTCCATGAAGTAGTGGAGGAGGGCCACCAAGGGGCCCGAGTGGCCGCCCCCCGATTCCGGCGGTTGGTGAGGGGGGCCCCCAGCCGCGGGCCGAGAGCGCCACCAACCACAGCAGGCTGCGGGGGCGAGGAGCCATGCCCCGCTCAGCCCCCAGCACCGCGGCACCTCGATACCGGAGAGGGGGCAGAACAGCAGAGGTCAAACTGACGTGGGCTGCCCCTTCCCCAGCCTCAGAGCACCGCAGGCCGGAGACGGAGAGGGGTGGTGAAACTTAATAGAAACGCCCCTTGAGCCAGCATCTTGAAACCATTCTATGCACATACCCGGACATGGCGATGCTTGCAGGCACCAGCCATGTTTCCTATCCGCCTGCCACTGCCAGAGTAACAGTATAGCACAACGGCCGGGTGCGAGCTCGTGATCCGTGTTGGAGGTCCCGCGTACATGCAGTCATACCCCGTAGCCTTTCCGTATGGTTTCAGGGGTGTGTGGGCTTCTCAGGTTTACCCGTGGGACTGATCCCGACGTCCAGACCATGTGGTGCCCTGCATTGAGCTAGTGTCACCCTCACTCCACATGGCGTTTTTCGTCGATGTTGCCTTGCAATAGGCGGCTCGACTCATCAGAAGCGGCTGGTGCGCCCCGATCCTTGGAACATGACAACGGGCGTGCCCTTTTACAGGTGAGGAGGCTGGCCAAACCTCCAGAGGCGCATTTCCTTCTGGAGGGAGCCTTGGCGGCGGCAGTTTAGTGTCGTACCCTGAGGAGGCTGCCGATAACGCTGCGAATGGTCGTGAGATCACTACCACTGTCCAACGCAACGCCTATCTCGTACTGTCTCTCGACACCGAGTCCTGTCTCACGCTGCAGTGCCTCCGCTAAGCGCTGTGGCACATCTGGCTCTGACATGGATTTTGCGCGCAGATCAAGAAGAGATTCCATGTACTCCCAAGGGAGTCCGTTCCGGATCACGAGATGTTCAGACCCTGCGCTGTACTTGTCCACCAAAGCGTCATCGAAGCGGCCACCCTCACTCAACCAACACCTTGCAACAGCATGGCACAGTTTGAAGAGGAATTGATAATTGGTTGCATCACGCAGGAGCTCATAAGCGAGACGGCCTTTGTGAAGCCTGGTGTGCAGATATCCGCACTCGTATGGAAACTTGTCCGCAGCGAATTGAACAGTTTCGCGGGTTTCGGAAACATATTCCGATGCATACAAACACTTCTGAGCAAAATTCCATCCTATCGGAAGTCCTGACCAAGGAGTCTTCTGCCGCGACTTGCCCCGCAGGGCCTTGCGGTTCTATCTTGTACCCAAAGTGAACGTATGCGGCATTCCAGGCCTTAGAGAAGGCTGGAAGACCGCCACACATGGCGATCAATGCCTCTCCCCTTCGGCGCCCAGGTTGGCGTATTTGCCCTTCTTGAGGATGCTGGTCAGCACGTGAATTATTTTCTTATCTTCTTCACGCTGTACCCGCAGTCCTCAAGCACCAGTGACACGGCAGCGAGGAATAGACCAAGATTCGTGATGAAGTTGAGTATGGACGTACCACGGTCTCCGGATTCACGAATCATGCCAGGCAGCTCATTTATGAATGCTTTTATGAAGCTGCCTAGCTGCATATTGCAGGTCTCCTTGGTCCTGTCCTCCATGGCGGCACGCAGCACGCCGCTCACTGCTCCCCCCGTCCCCCATGAAATTCTGCAACAGGTTGACGGGGAGCATATTTTCGGCATCCTAGGGGGTTGATGAACGAATGGATGAGAAGTGACAAGAGTTGGCGACTTCAGTTGTCCGAATCTAAGATCCAGTGTCAGCCATGTGTTGAGAAATCAGATTGCAAAAAATCATCCAAGCAGGGATTCTCAACGAGGTTCTACCGGGAAGATTCCATTTGTCGAGTGCAAACCATCCATATATGGCTGGCGTCAAAGTTAGCCCGTCCAAAAAAGGAACAACTTCAAAGCATGAAGCCGCCCTAGCACACACAAAACATTATAGTAATATAATAATGAAAAAGATTGATAAAAAGTATACCTGATACATCCTGATACCTCTCCACTTACCTCACCCACTGTATCCGAACTCAAGGTGTTTCGGAACCGGCACCTCCAAGACGAGTAGGTTGCCGGCATGCACGTCGGCATGGAAGAACTCGCACTTTTGCACCGACAGCGCCCAAACCTCGGCGTCCGCGGGCGGCGCGTTTCGGGTCTGTTCCTCCAGGCGCGTTTTCAGTGGTTCGATCCCGAACAGCATTGGAGATGTTCGTCGCACCGAGCGAAGCTGAATGACCGGACCACCAACCAGCCTTAGATCTGTTCCTATAACTATATAAAGAATCAAATTGGTTCCAGGCGTCATGTGGACTCTTGGTTTTTCATTGAGTTCCCCGGTTCCCCACCATTTAAAATCATTTAAATTGGAACATCCTCTTCATCTCGGTGGTTGATGGTCCTCAAGAGTCCTACAACTTCTCGAGAAGAAGCCCCTGTGTGGGGTGAGACTCTAGCAACCCCAGCTCGACGGCAGGGACGGGACGCTCCTTCCGCGCGCTTTCTCCGCTCCGGGGGACGTGTTTCGGTGTTCATCGACACCCAAGAAACCACCCGCCTGGGAAACCAAACAACCAGAAACAAATGGATGTTTCCCCAAACAGCCATTTCCTATGTAAAGGATTTCAATTGCCATAGTGGAACAACCGTTTGTTTCTGGTTGTTTGGGTTTCCAGGCGGGTCTAAAACACCATATGCATCCATATGGCCATGTGTGTTCCAATGGACGCCAGTTCCCTAAACAATATACAGGAAGCACATGCGATTCATTTGCGAATCTGCGGCGGGGGGGTGCGTGTCGTGCGTGAAAAATCCACCACCATCAGCTCACCCCTGACCTGCCGGGTCGGAATCCTGGGGGGACGTGTGGCCAAAACAGGTGAAAGCACTGGGCATGGGCGGCATGGTCTGAACAGTTGCGACAGTGGGGAGGTGAGAGTACATGCGTACATGCGTGGCTACATCCTTTCGTGGCTCAAAAGTTCTTGCCAAACCAACACGCTTCCTTTCTCTGCTCGAAGCAAACAAAACACTCGCTCGCCGCATCGACCAACTTCGTTTCATGTCGACGCCTGTGAAGCAGCTGGCCTTTTTGTTCTCAAAAAATCACTGGCTACTGAGAAACGCAGGTCCTCATCCCCAAAACAATCACCGACCCTGCTCTGATCGGTGCTCTCTCAGTGCTGTAGATCGTTCCCTTCCCGATGAGCTGCGTTCGCAGCTGCGAACCTGCGAACCTGATCCATCGGTTCTGCCGCGTTGAGCTGCGGACGTTCAGCGCATTCACCAGAGTTTGCTCCGGGTCGCGGCTGTAGCGCCTGGGTCCAAAGTTGGCGTTGGCGTGTTCGCTGAACAGCGAAGAGAATGGCCACAGAATTGACCTGTAACACGGATGCAACCGATGGTCTTGGTTTGGCGTGTTCGCCATGATCAAAGGTATGTCCGATTCAACAAGACAAGTAGTAATGATCAACAATCAACACATTGACAGCTTTTTCTACCTTCCAGTCGATCGAATGGATCGATTGCTACAAATTTGATCGGTCTACTGAGTCTACTGAGTCGCACCAAAGCAAGCCTTCCACGCTTCTGACTCCCTCAGTTTCCCTCACAAATAAAGGTCTAAGTCCAAGGTCAGCTGTTCCTTTCTCCGTATGGTGGTCACCAATCCCCCAGGTTCGGTTTCCACCCCTGGCGTCGGTGATCCTACCTTCGTCGGCCGATCCACCGACTCGTCCGGAGACCGCGCCGTTCCTTCGGCCCTCCAGGTGCCTCGGCTCCCCGGCTTGATCGCCTCCAGGTCCGTCAAGGGAACCCCACGAAGGCGTTCCATGGTGAGCACCTTCTGAGCCCTCGAGCTGTGGGGACGAAAGGAGGGAGGACGTGGGAGGACGTGGGAGTTGCCCATTCTTCAAGTTCCATGGGTGTTGGCCCCATGGTCCAGTTAGTTGCAGTAGATTATGTTGGGTGGAGTTTTCTTGTGAGAGTGCCTATTTGAAGACATAGTTACTTCACCATGGAGCCATGGAAAACAACGGCGGGTTCACGTGATGTGGTAGGAGACGATCATCGCAACTGTCCTATCTATAGGGTCATGCAATGTCATACATCAGAATCCACGTGTCTTCAATCATGGCCACCATGTCTCTTCATGCTGGGGCGTGGGCGAAGCTTCCGGAAAGGGCTTTGGCGCAACCTTGAAAACTCAGGCAGTGGAACTGTTCTGCCCACGGGGCACGCTCCAACTGTTCCACTCCATGTTCCCAAGTGAAACAAAAATCTGTTTTTCTGTAGTTGTCTTTAAACTTGATCCATTTGCTCTGAGCCAAACCTTGGTTCAGTATCTCTAGGACAAATCCTCTCTGCGAGCACACAAAAATAGTTCAGAGTTGGGTCCAGTGGGCCCTGATTCCTGACTCTCAAAACAATGCGGTGTCAATGAGCATGACCGTGAAAGCTAAACGAAAAGCTATCTTTTGGACTCTGCTTCTGGCAACATTGGGTGCTGCTGACGAACAAAAATGCCTCTACCTAGGGAAACAAGACACCAAGAAAACGTAGTACATGACAAAAAGACCATATCTTTCAAGACAAAAACGTGTTCCCAAATGTGTGCTTTTATAGAAAGAGAAAAGGCACCGGTCTTCCCATGGAATTCTAGTTGTCATTCCTTGTTCCAGCTTGTAGCTAAGCGCAACCAAGCATCTGCAATGGGATCGAGGCCATTGGTGGCTAGGAAGTCCCTGTAGACGTCCAAGTTCCGCTGCTCCTTTTCACGACAGCCCCGAAATCGACCTCCACGACTATCTAGCTACAGAAAAGACCTACATGTAATGCCTGTGATGCCGACGCGACTCAGAACATACGCCGGGCTCAACGAAGAAGCGTGAGAAGCCCCTGGTCTCTCTTTGGTTGCACCATCCTGAAAAAATCGCCTTCCAATACCCAGACGCTCCATGTATGCCATATATGCCTGCATTGACCCCCCTGGCACCACCCCAACTGATGGGCAGTCCTATGGCACTCCCAGACAGGTCGTGTCTGCGAATCGCCGGTGACCGCCGCCCGGCCGCCGGGCTCCTCTCGGAAGTCCAACTCCCCCAGCATCGACTCCCGCAGATCGGAGGCGATGTCCTGGCGGATCGGAGGCGCCGCGTGGGGAGAGCTACACATGGAAGCTTCTGGATGTTTCCCAGAAAGGCACTGAACGAAGATGACCAGAAACGGCACCGAACCAGTTTTTTTCCCCAACATGGCCAATGTTTCTGGGAAGTTTCTTGGGGCCAATGGGAAGGTGGGAGACCAGACCAACGAAGATCCATCGAAAACGCGCCCCAACATGGCGAGGATGGCCGCCAAGGAGCCGCGGATGTTCAGGTCTGGCTGGATGAACCTCAGGTCACGCTTCCCCCGGCGGGAGCGAAGCCCACAGACCAGTGTCTTTGCATGTCTTCGTACCATTTCCATCCATTTCCCATCGCCGGTCCCCCATTCATCCTCATTCCAACCCTCCCAAGGAATCACCAGCTGTGCATCTCCGCTCCAAATGGCTCGAACCAATACCAATTTCCACCAATTCCAATTCCCACGGCTTCCGCATCGGCTCGCGTCCTTCCTCTCGAGAAGTCTCGCCCGCTTCTACTCTTCGACTCGCGGGGCCCCCGGGCTCCAAGATCCGGGACGCCAAGTAGACCACCCCTGGCGTCGCTTCGTCGCCGCTTCCCGTCGCTTCCCGTCGCGTCCTCCCCGTCCCACGCGGCCCAGGGTCCCGCGCCGCGGAGGGGAGGGCGCGCGAGCCGAGGCGGAACCGACGAAGCCACGAATGAAGATGCGGCGAAGACGAGAGAAGTGGAGGTGGAGGTCGCACCGCAGTCGGGAGAAGTCGAGAAACGGAGAAGGTGAGGAAGTGTTCCCCATAGAAATGTGGACACATGTAATATGGGAGTATATGGGTGTGTATTTGAATAAGGAGACCCGGAACCAAGGGATAATTGGTGTATTTTTCGTCTTCAAGGGGCTGGAGGTCTCCCTATTTTAATACACACCCGTATGTTCGGTGTCCACACACTTTGTAGCAACGATGACGTGGACTGGTATCGATTGGACCCTCTTGGACCCTCCTTTTGAGATGACGTGGCCATGTTTGAGCATCGGCTCTTCCTCCAACTGCGGCCCCATGTGACCCTCCGTTTCAGCCCGTTTCATCGGCCGGGGGGCCATCGGGCCTAGGTCGGTCTTGAGCACATCTTCGATGTTTGGCTTCTGCACCTCTTACGACGGACAGACGCATGTGCTTGGCATGCCATGTCGGGCGGTGTTGGATCCGGGTGCAAGACAGTCACGTGGCCCTGAAAAGAGGTTTGGTCGGCGGTGTCCATGGAGCACGCCAAACAGGTGGCCTTGGCATAAGGCAGAATATTCACTAGATCTATTTCTATGCCTGGACCATGCAAGGGGTCTCCAATGGAATACCCAACACGACTTGTTATAGGGACCGTCAGCCAGGACACCCAGACAGGATGGTCCTGGTACAAGCAAAGTCAGTAAAACATCTTTGACTGGGTTGATGCAATCTCAATCCGCACTGCATGATATCTCTCATTTAGCCAAATGATTTGTATACCATGTATTTAAACTCTCACGAGGTCATGGATCCAAATTGGATCCAAAACATCACTCGGGCAACTGCGTATCTCCCACTTGGACGGAATCAAGACAGGCAGCAAGTGTACGACCACGACCATCAAAATCATCAAGATCATCAAGCTCTTGGTGTGACAAAAGAACATTCCAAACCCTTACATACTATAACCCTTATATAACCCTTTACTATATAACTTATATACGACTTACTATATAACTTATGTAACTTATATATAGAGCCCTTTGGGTTAGAACCTACCAAACCACAAAAGTGGATCATCATCCAACATGCTCCCAGTAAATACAAGTATCAAGTATCTATCTCCCACTACTAGTTCCTGACAGCCCATGCTTCACTTCACTTGCACTCCAGCTGCCGTGAACAAATAAAAACAGCCGCCGAGCTGATCTACTCCACAGCTGACCCGTATAGAAAAAAGCGGCACCTTGATGACCACCTCTTGGCCATCCAATAATCGACCCGCGTGCACTTGTGCGATGGACGCTGATGCCTAGGCAGACAGGGACGGACTCCAAGTAGGCGAGGGACGTCACAAGCGG